CTAGCCCGCAAGAGAGCTCCGGGATTCAGATCCTGGGCGCGAGGTCCCGCGAGCGGCGGGGCGGCGCTGTCGCAGTCCTCCTCCCTGGCAAGGGCCGCGGCAGGGGGAGGAGGCAGCGCGAGCAGTCCACGCCCTCCTGCCGGGCGCGCTCGACGCGGACGGCGGACGGCTGACCAGCTCCCGGAGCGCGGCGAGCCCAGAGGACCCACAGCTGGGGCGCCAGAGCGCGGCCATCCGGGCGGGGCCGAGGGAGCGCGGCGGGACTCGGCTGGACGGCGCGGCCACGGAGAGGGGCGCAGTGAGCGGGCTGGCACCGCGCGGGAAACACTCCGGAGGCCGCCGCGCTCAGTCCCGGCACCCCCTGGTCGGGGTTCGCGCGCCGTCCCCCAGCACGCCCCGGCAAGGCTGCCGCAGCGTCGGAGTAATCCCCAACCCTCCGCCGTCGCTTCGTCCCTCACTCGGGCCTCCAGACGTTTGCCGCGGAAACGAAAGTAACTCAGGTGCTTGCGCGGAGGCCGGGGCGGCCGCGGGCTTCCGGGAAGGAGAGGGACTCCGCCCGGCGTGCGCGCGGCGGGCGGGGCCCCGCCGGTACCGGAAGTCGGGTAGTGGGCGGGGCCGGGCGCTCCCGGGCGCTCCCGGAAGTCGGAGGTGCGCCTCTAGCCCAGCTTATCCGGAGTCAGCTGGGTGCTTCTGCGCCGGAGGTCTGGGCGCTGGACTGGTAGCGGGCGGAGACCTGCGTTTGGGCCGCGATTACGGCGTGAGGGTGGAATAGGCCGTCCCACACGCCGTTAATGTCGTTGTTGTTTTGGTGGAGACGGTGGGCCACTACTGCCCTATCATTAAGAAAAAACAGTTTGGGCTCTTCCCACCAACCCTTTGAAAGGGCCTTTTACTGTTGCACTTGAGGCCACAGCAGGTTCCAAAAACAAAACCTTTTCTGCGTGATCTTAGACGACTGAGGGGACGAATGTGGTAACCCTAGCAGGCTGCTTTGGTGGTCACTGGCATGTGCTTTTGTGAAGTGCTGCAGACCCTCTTCAGGGTTGGGAAGAGGATAGGCTGCATCCTTCTTCCCTCAGCATTTGACAAAGCCTCAGAGGGACGCGGGGGTTGCGGGGGCAGGGGAAGGTCTGGGGTTGTTCTTTCTCTCTTGCTGACCATTTGACTCTCCCTTAATCAGAGCTTTTTTTATCTTGGGCAAAGAAGGAGGCTGCTCCAACGATTAATTCTTCCCTGATTTACACTTGAAGAAGCCAAGGCAGGAGGTGAACTTTGAAATGTGCAGTGACTTAGTACTCATCTGCGTTCTGAGGCTGCTAGGAAGATGGATTGAGTCAAGAGGAAATTGTCATATTAGAAATGTGGAGTACTGGGCCGGGCACGGTGGCTCACTCCTGTAATCCGAGCACTTCGGGAGGCCGAGGTGGGAGTATCACCTGAGGTCAGGAGTTCGAGACCAGCCGGGCCAACATGACAAAACCCCGTCTCTACTAAAAATACAAAAATTAGCCGAATGTGGTGGCGGGTCCCTGTAATCCCAGCTACTCAGGAGGCTGAGGCAGGAGAATGGCTTGAACCCAGGAGGCGGTAGTTGCAGTGAGCAGAGATGGTGCCACTTACACTCTATCATGGGCGACAGAGGGAGACTCTGTCTCAAAAAAAAAAAAATAATGTGGAGTACTGCAACTCTTCACAAAAAGTGAAGAGAAGACTAGGCTTGTTTAAAATGAAATTTGGAGTGTATCATTATTACTGATAAAATGGCAAAAATGATAACTTTAATACTCATTTTCCTCTGTCTGCACTATACTGAGCCCCAGAGATATATTGTACTTTCTGGATTGTGAATATTAATGAGTATTAAGAAAAGTTCTTAAATAGCCTGTTTCAAACTGGGCAGCTTACATTTTGGTGCTTATTGATTTATAACCTGTTAACACCCATATGATCTGAGAATCTGAAGAAAATATTTAACTTCCCATGCTTTAGTTGGATATTACATTCTGGCAAAAATGGTTGACTGTATTAATCTGTAGAACATTGATTTTGAGCCATATGTTTCCTGTATTTTTATTTTTAGTTTTGAAGACAGAGTCTTGCTCTGTCGCCCAGGCTGGAGTGCAGTGGCACGATCGTGGCTCAGTGTAACCTCCGCCTCTGGTGTTCAAGCAGTTCTCCTGCCTCAGCCTCCCAAGAAGCTGAGGTTACAGGCGTACACTACCACACCTGGCTAATTTTTGTATTTCTAGTAGAGACAGGGTTTCACCAGGTTGGCCAGTCTGGTCTCAAGCTCTTGGCAGTCTGCCCGCCTCGGCCTCCCAAAGTCCGGGATTACAGGAATGAGCCCCTTCGCCCCGCCTTCCTGTATTTAAAAAATTTATTCTGTACTTTCTCCGTGTTTCTGACTGTGGCATATTCATTTAACATAGATGAGTAAGGCTGTAAGAGTGGGTCTCTGCATCTGGATTTTTCCAAAGACAGATTATTTGCTATCTAGAGAAGTAGCATGCATTAGTGAGCCAACAGTGAAAGTTTGAATGAAGGGACAAAGATTTCATTCCAGGATCCTGCCACTTTAGGTGGATCATTTAGTTCCAAATCTTAGTTTCTTTATTTGCAAATTGAAATCATGATAAAATTTGCTTCAGGGGTCGTGATGCTTGTTTAAACTCTGTTTCAATTCTTGTCTCTTGCTGGTCCTTCCTTGCTGGTCCTTAAGTCTCTTCCTTGCTCAGAACTTTTGTTTATCCAGGGAAAGCATCAGGCTGCTGTAATCATGGAAGTTGGAGAAATCCTCTGGTCACTTGGATAACTGAGCAAAATCAGAATTCTGTTAGTGGGAAGAAAGAGGGCAATGGCAGGTGGGCAACTAGCATTTTCTGCCATTCTCTTGTTATGTGTAGTCATCACAGAAAAATGGGGAAAAGTTAATTAGAATATTTTGATATGTATACTCACCCTGCCTTAGAAGGTAATTTGTGAAATTCCTTGGGATTTCACATTAATTTCAATAGAAAAAAATTCACTGTCCTGAGTCCCTGAATTAATATTTATTTATGGAAAACATTTACAAATTGTATTCAAATGGACATAATTATTACTTAAAATTAGTTGATATAACAGGCCAGCATGTCTTTCTTACCCTGTAACATGGCTTTGTAATAATATGGTTATGCAATATGTCTATATAAGCTGCCTAAATTCAGTGTTTTTGGATTTCCTTCATTCAACTACTCACAAGGCCTTCCTAAGATATACAGTGCTCATAAAGTTGAATCTTTCATGTGGGAAAAAAAGGGGTGGATAGCAAAAACAAAAGAAATCACTGAAAATCATGCAAAAGATGCATAAGATTAACATCAGACTAAACTAGCAAACCGCAAGACTATAAGGAGAACTGACTTGGGTCAGGAGTTAAGCTCCCAAAATCCAGTGGACCCAACTAGAGGTCTTCCCAAGCTCCACCACACTCAGGAGCACCTGCAGGTCCTAGTTGGTCTTGACAAATTTGAGGAGATGTGGTGGAGACTGAAGGAGAGATACCAGATAGGACTCCTCATAAAGTAGAAACCTTTTACCCAAAAGGGCATTTTTCAGGGCATGTTGTAGTTCCTGCTTGTTTCTTTACTGTCTGTGAGCATTTTTAATATTATTAAACATTCTTACAGCATCGCTTTTGCAGACTGCTAGATATATTTCGGAGTGTTGATGGACATAACTGATTCTCTTCTCTGTACATACTAAGTATTTTACCTACTTTTGCTGTTCTATGTAATGCTACCAGGAACAGCTTTGCACATAATCTTTATCAGCATCTCTGATTTGATCCCTCAGAGTAAAGAAATACTGAGTCAAGGAATTATTCCTTTCAAAAAAAAATTTTAATTTTACATTTAATTCATGTCTACTGGGGAAAATTTGGAAAACATAGTAAAAGTGTAAAGAAGAAAGCAAAAATCACCCTACCATCAAGATACAATCCTTGTTAACATTTTGGTGTCTTTATGTCTTTTTTTTCTGTACTTACATCTTTATTTACATATATATATATATATCACACAAATGTGAATATAATTTTTACAGATTTATTCGTCAAAAACAATTTTGAATGGCTATACAATATTCTGTTAGGAGTGTGCTGTAACTCATTTAACAATATTTTTTATTTTTGGACAATTACATAGTTCTCTTTTTAAAATAGTTATTCATTTGATGATGGGCCGGCATACATTGGGTTCTGCTAGGCTCTGGAAACGGTGCACAAGACAAGTTTCCTGCCTTCTGTGAACTTCATGAGAAATAATTCTCAATTACAGTACTATCTTACCTGTGAAAATGTCTAATGGGAAGACTTAGGATGGCTTCCTTGACAAAATGACAGTTCTCTGACACCTAACCAGGCAAGAAGTTGGAAGAATGTGGCCTAAGAGGGTGGGACAGATGACCTTTATGGAATGGGGAAGACTTTGCAGTTCTGCATGCTCCAGTGATCTGTAGTGAATGAAAAAGGAGGCCTAAAATCAATGTTATCTTTTAAGCCCTCTGTCTCCACCCCCTCCTACCTCATTCTCACTAGGATTGCTCAGTAGGGCCCTGCTGACAGTGATCCCAGCTGAGAATGCTGGCATTCTCAAAGCCCAAGGAAATACCATCCGTGTGGATAAACACGTGGGTGGCTGGGCCAGCCATAGCCAGAGACATAAAGCAGGTAACAAACGTGTTTTCACAAATATATACATATGTACATATATATGCATATACAAATAAATACACATATATGTGTATATATATACAAACAGCTATATATCTATGTATACAAATATATATGCATATACACATACACAAATATATGTATATATACACATACACAAATATATATACACATACACATATATATGCACAAATATATATTTTATATCATGTATCGTATTATATATATTTATACATATACAAATATATGTATATTTATATGTATACGTATATAAATGTATACATATTTTTTTCTCATAATCCTTACCACTTCTGTGAGGCGGTCATTGTTTCATTTTGCAGATGAGGAAATTGAGTCACAAGTGACCCAGGGTCACAGGTTGGTGAGTCACAGAGCTAGAGTTCACGTTCATAGTGGAGGGCCGGTGCTCTTGGAGCTATGGCCCCTGGTCTCTTACCTCAAGCGCCTGCCTAACCCCACCCCTCAGTCTTCAGGCCTTCATCTAGGCAGCCCCTCACCTCCACCTGCTGCCTATGTCCCACTGATGTACTTGTTTCCTGAGGGCACTTCCTCTTGTTTGGTAATGTCTTATGTCCTAGGAAAGAAGGTGCATAGATGCTGCTGTGTGAGCTTCCTCTGCTAGACAGAGCTGGCCCACAGCCTTTAGATGAGGCGTCGAATGCTGGTTACCTGAGTCACCTGGAGCCGCCCACTGCACAACACCATGGGCAGCCAAGGGGTTTCCAGAATCCCCTCTCCCCAAGGTATTTATTTTTTTCATTTTTAACTCCCCGCCCTCCAACATTTTATCATGAAAGACACCAAAGTCCGAAGGTTACGTCCACCACGAGTATCATCTTAACACCGCTTGCTTCATCATGTAATTCTCCATCTCCCTTCCTGTCATCTGTCCATCATTCTGTCTGACTTTTTGATGTATTTCCAAGTACACATCTCTAAATACTTCAGCATGCATACCACTAGCTAGAGTTCAACATGTTCACAGGTTTGTATTTTGATGTAAAATTTACCTTCAGTTGTTAGGAGTACATCTGCTGAGTATGGGCAGATGCGTATGCCTGCAACCCTAGCCCCCACTGATATCTTAGAACATTATCATCACCCCAGAAAGTTCCCTCATGCCCCTGCCCGCCCAGCCTCACCATGCTCACAGGTGGCCAGTGTTCTTTTTCTGGCACAGATTGGTTTTGACTTCTGAACCATCATATAAATAGAATTACATAGTATGTATTCTTTCGTATACTTTCACTCATCATGTTTTTGCATTTCGTTCATGCTGTTTTCATTCATGTGTATCAGCAGTCATTTTTATTGCTGAGTAGTATCCCATTGTGTTCATATACCACACTGTGTTCACTCATTCTCTTATTGATGGACAGCTGTTTCCAGTCTGGAGCTATTATGAATAAAGTTGCTATGCACATTTTACAAGTGTTTTCCGACATACGTTTTCATTTCTCTTGGGATTGGAATTGCTGGGTCCTAGTGCAGGTGTTCGTGGTTTCATAAAAAAAATCTATGCCTGTGAAATTTCTATGAGTATTTTATGCCCCAGAAAGGTTATTTTTCATGGTCTGTATTTGGATGTACATATTTATTATTTTATTTTAGTTTTTTTGAGACAGAGTCTCATTTTGTTGCCCAGGCTGGAGTGCGGTGGCATACGATCTCAGCTCACTGCGACCTCTGTCTCCCAAGTTTAAGCAATTCTCCTGCCTCAGCCCCCCGAGTAGCTGGGATTAGAGGCGCATGCCACCACACCTGGCTAATTTTTGTATTTTTAGTAGAGACGGGGTTTCACCATCTTGGCCAGGCTGGTCTTGAACTCCTGACCTCGTGATCTGCCTTCCTCAGCCTCCCAAAGTGCTGGGATTATAGGCGTGAGCCACCGCGCCCAGCTGGGATTTGGGTATTTCTGGAATACAAAACATTCATAGCCCTCCTCCTACTCTCAAATCAAAACACAGACATGCACATTCACATGCACACACCAGTGTGTCCGTGTCCTGTTGGTTTGCATAGGGTTTCTGTTTTGCCATGAAGCTCTTTGCCAGCCCTTTTCCCAAAGTGTTTGTACCATTTTATACTCCCACCATTGATGTTTGAGAGGTCTGGTTGCTTCTCATGTTTGCCAGTATTTGGTGCTATGAGTCTTTAGTTTTGGATATCCTGGTAGTTGTGTAGTGGTGTCTCATTGTGGTTCTCCATGGGTTTTTATTCTTCATTTCAGTTTGGGGAAAATGAATGAATGGAAGAAAAGAAGGGAGGAAGGATGAAGCAAATAGCTGTGCTTTGAGATCTGACGCTGTATACTTCACAGCCCTGATGGATATTCTCCAAATTCTACTCCTTTTTCACATTTTCTTCTTAGAGTTTGCATTGTTCTTTTTATATTCTTCAGATTCCTTTTGTTCATAATTTCTTAAACCTATTCATTTTCTACTGCCTTTCAGTTGTTAATTTACTGAAGTTCTTTGGTGCTTACTACTGCTGTTTGCTGTAGCTGCAGGGTCTGTCTCACGGCGAATTTTTTCTTTTGTGTTTTATAATTTTGGAAAGGGAGCTTATGTTAAATTTGTATTTGTGGGAATTCTGTCTAGCCTGGCTTGAGGGTATTGTTTGCTTTAGCCAATAACCTCAGGATGGCATCAGCCTGTGACCACTTCCTGTTCATAGTTTAGGGGATCCTCTCATTTCAAAGTCTGTATCTATTTGAAGACAGGCCCAAGGTTATAAATTTGCACAGACTTTTTTTTTTTTAATACCTTGTGCCCAGTCCAACAAATATGTTTGTTTGCCACAGGCTGCTTTTTTTCTAGTTCATCCTTTCATCAAGGGGTAGCACATTGAGCAGTGCCATGTTAAGCAGGGAGTCTTCATTCTACCTGCTTTTCTTGCATTCCTTGACCTCAGCTGGGCTTTAAACCTCGAATTCTGGATGGCGAGATTGGCACTGCCCTGTGTGAGCTACTGCCTGTCTCTGGTGCTGTTTCTGTCCCTACAGTTCTTTTCCTTTCCACGGAGTTCTGGTATGCATTTCAATGAATGTTTGTATTATGTTGTCCAACATACTTATGTCCTTTATAGCCGGAGAGTTCTTAAAATTTTCTAATGCTCCATATTGCCAGAAATAAAAAGGCTGAGGGAATAAATATTATAGTCTTCTGTGATTCTTAAAAATATGAAAATTAGCTCATCAGATGACTGTAAGTCTATCCTCAAAAATCCAAGGCACATCAAGCATGTGGAATGTTACAAAAGTTTTTAAAAATGATCTTTTCTGCCAAGGGCAATGGCTCATACCTGTAATCTCTGCACTTTGGGAGGCTGAGGTGGGAGAATCCCTTGATCCTAGGAGTTCGAGACCATCCTGGGCAACATAGTGAGACCACTCTGCCCGCCCCCAACTCTTTACAAATAATTGAAAAATCAGCCGGGCATGGTGGGGTGCACCTGTGGCCCCAGCTACTCAAGGAGGCTGAGGGGGGAGGATTGCCTGAGCCCAGGAGGTCGAGGCTGCAGTGAGCTGTGATTGTGCCACTGCACTCCAGCCTGAGTGACAAAGTGAGACCCTGTCTCCAAAGGAGAAAATAATAATAATAATAATAATTATATATATATTCTTGTTGCCCTGAGGTGTTGTCTCTGTTTTCTTCACAGGGTACCGCTCTGACGGGGGAGAAAAGTGGCAGCATTTTGGGTGTTCTTGAGCTTCAGAATGCAACCAGACATGTCCTTGAATGTCATTAAGATGAAATCCAGTGACTTCCTGGAGAGGGCAGAACTGGACAGCGGAGGCTTCGGGAAGGTGTCTCTGTGTTTCCACAGAACCCAGGGCTTCGTGATCATGAAAACAGTGTACAGGGGGCCCAACTGCAGCGAGTGAGTGGGGGCAGGGGTGGGCGGGCAAGCTCGGAGCGGGATGGGGACGCTGGCTGCCGTAGAGCCGCTGGTGGGTAGAGTGAGAGGGAGCCTGCCAAGATGTCAGGGTGACGACGGCTCTTATGTTATTGTCGCTGACGCGGACTCCGAGGCTGGGTCGTGAAGGGCTCACAGCTAGTAAGTAACAGAAGAGACATGAACAAGAAGGAAATAGAGAAAGACAAAGAGATAAGTGTGGTGAGGGGGACAATGAAAAGGAAACAGGAGGATGGGTGAAGACAGACCTATTCACTTGCTTCACATTTTCAGTGAGGACCAGCCCTAAGTATGAAAATAAAAAGGCAGTTCATTCCTGAGAGGTTCTGAGAACCTTCCCTTGAAAGCAACCAGTAGAGTGGTTTTACCCCTATCCCTCCTTTGTCAGAGTGGTTTTGAGAGAGGCTGTTTTTGTTTGTTTGTTTGTTTTTTGTTTTTTCAGTCACACGGTCCAGCACGGTCTTTTTTCAGGTTACCTTGCTGCTGTTCATGTACTTTTCATTCATTGATTCATTCATTCATTCCTTCATTGATTTACATTTTTTGAGCATGCACTGCCAGTTACTGGGCAGGAGAACTGTGGAGAAGTGAGAAATTGCTCTGCCTTCTAATGCTTCTGGCCTGTGCCTAGAAGAGATAGGTACAGACTCAAGCACGACCTCAGCACGTGGGAGTGATGTGTTGGAGGTGTACACCAGGCTCTTGAGGTGCTGGCTCTGCCAACCTCAGCATAGCACCTTTCCTGCCCACAGGCACAACGAGGCCCTCCTGGAGGAGGCGAAGATGATGAACAGACTGAGGCACAGCCGAGTGGTAAAGCTCCTGGGCGTCATCATAGAGGAAGGGAACTACTCCCTGGTGATGGAGTACATGGAGAAGGGCAACCTGATGCACGTGCTAAAAGCCGAGGTAGAGAGTGCCCCCCCACATGGGGATCCCCAGCGCTTGGGCCCTGGCTGTCTGTTATGGCTGCCCTTGGGGTGTGTGTTTGCAGCTCATTAGTATAAAATTTGCAAATTGCTTGGTAGTTTGAATTTTCTTTTCCTTTTCTTATAGAGACAAGGTCTTGCTATGTTGCCCAGGCTGAACTCAAACACCTGGTCTCAAGCGATCCTCCCACCTCAGCCTCTCAAGTAGCTGGGATTACAGGCTCAATTTCCTGAAGTCAGTTTCTCCTTAAAACATCTCTGCCTTGATCCGGCCCAGTGAGTGGGCCACTCCTGTAATCTCAGCACTTTTGGCAGGAGGATCACTTGCACCTTGGTGTTCAAGACCAGCCTGGATAACACAGTGAAATCCCATCTCTACAAAAAATACAAGGTGCATGTGAACAGAGCAAGACCCTGTCTCAAAATCTTCCTTGCCTTTTGCTGCCCTGAGAGTGGTCTCTTCATCCTCTCGATCCTGCGGACAGTCCTCCGTAGTCTGTGTCTTAGGAATGTGATTGGCTGTTTACCATACCTGTCTGCTGTTCTACAATCTACAGTTCAGAGATAGGCCCTGTCTTCACGTTGCAGACATCATCTGATGTGGAGTATATGCATGATGGGATGACAATTAAATATGGATTGATTAATGAAAGGATGTACACTGTAAATGACCGTAAGAGCAGACAGAGTATTAGCGGTTGCACTTTGAAACCATTCAACAAAGTTTTATTTTAAAATAAATATAGAACATTAGCGGCAACAACACTGGATAGGATTTAAAACAAAAATAAAAATTGTTTACCAAAATCAAATTTGACAACATTTTTAAAAGCTAATGTGCCTGTTAAGATGAAGGCCTTGCGCTAGTAGCTTATAAATCAATAGCTAATGCGACGCAGGCAGTAAAAGGAGGCAGGTGACTAAATGAGTGATATGGTGTGATGGTGGTTTTTTTTTTCTTTTTTAAGAGAACGAGATCTCACTGTGTTGCTCAGGCTGGAGTGCAGTGGCACAGTCACAGTGCACTGCAGGCTTGAACTCCTGGCCTTAAATGATCCCCTCACCTCAGCCTCCTGAGTAGCTGGGACTATGGGCATGAGCCACTGCACCCAGCTATGTGGTGGTTTTTTTTTTTTTTCTTGAGAGGAGTCTCGTTCTGTCACCCAGGCTGGAGTGCAATGGTGCGATCTTGGCTCACTGCAACCTCCACCTCGCTGGTTCAAGCAATCTTCCTGCCTCAGCCTCTTGAGTAGCTGGGATTGCAGGCGCCTACCACCATGCCTGGCTAATTTTTTTATTTTTAGTAGAGACAAGGTTTCACCACATTGGTCAGGCTGGTCTTGAACTCCTGACCTTGTGATCCAACCGCCTTGGCCTCCCAAAGTGCTGGGATTACAGGCATGAGCCACCACTCCCAGCTGAGGGTGTTTTGATAGACATACTCGTCGTCCGCTGTGGGAGTACAGACGAGAGGCACCCACTCAGCTTGGGATAGACAAGAAGGGCTTCTAATGTGAATGACAGGTGGATGTTTTGAAGCAGAGAATTAGGGAACAAGTGTTCTAGGCAGAGAGAATACCATGTAGAGACTGCCAAATTTGGGGAACTGTAAATTCCTGGGTTTGGCTAGAGCATAGATTGCACAAGGTATGGGGAGGGGTGGCGGGATATGGCTGCCTTTGTGGCAAATACTCCCACTTTTCCACTTTCTTCTCCTATCCCACAATTGCCAAGCCAACAGGCATCTCACAAAAATACCTTTGGGAAGGAAAAGAGGTGATCACTTACACTCATGGTATTATAGTTTGATCAGATTGCTCTCCACCCCAGAACGAGAGAAAATCAGCTGTTTGAAGTAAACATTTTGATTGGGAAATAAGTCTTTGGTCTCCCATCCAAGTACTAACCAGGCGCAACCCTGCTTAGCTTCTGAGATGAGAGAGAAGTCATTTGGGACATGAGGCATTCTACAGGATCAGGGAAAGTTCAGGTGTGCCTGTTTGGACTCAGTCAGGACATCAGGAGGACCTGAGAGAGAAGCAGAAAGAGAAGAGAGAGGAGGACCAACTTACTTTGCTTGCTCCGAAGTGTTCCCTAAGTCCAAAGGTATACCGAAGAGGAAGGAAAAACATCTCCTCTGCTCCTTTCTGTTTGGTGGTGAGCAAGCTGTTAACAGTGTCGCTCAGCTGCGCTATGTCATAAATATGGTTTCAGGGATAGACTTGGAATCTCACTTTTGTCATTAAAATTTTTTTCCTGTTAACCAACAACCAAAATACATATAAATTTTTAGGAAACATCTTGTTTGTATACTGATTTTTTGTGGTGAAGCAAAACTATTTTAACCACTATAATAGAAACTGGAATTGTTTGTTAATATTGATGTTCATATAATAAGAATACAATTATAGGAACCAGTGACCTGAGACTCTACAAAAGCCTGAAGTATCTGCTACCAGGTCATCAAATAGATATTAATTCACTGAAGCTTTGTCGTTTTAACATCATGTTTATCTCAGATTTTTCTATGATTGTAATCAGTGTGAACATGTTCCCTTGTATTCTTTTTTCTCTTAATGTTATTTTACATGTGACATTTCCATGGCATTGTTCATGTCCTTAATGTAAACTTAGTATGACATCGTATGAGTATCCCATAGAAAATGCTTGCTTGTATATTTATTCATCCATTCATTCAGCAAGCATTCCAGGTATAATCCTAGGTTCTAAAGATACAGTCCTAAATAATATATATTTTTGTTCTCAAGGAGCTTAATTTTATAGTATTTTATGCATTACCAAATTATTGTGGGATTTTTGTTTTTACACTAACAAAATACAACATGAATACCTTTTGCCCTCCAAGAATGAAATCTTTCTTGTTTTCCAGTGACAGCACAGCACTGTGGTGCGTCTGCTGGAAGGAAACCTGTAACCCTCTCCTCAGGCTCAGATCCCACCACCCTTTCATGAAACAGTTGCTTTGGCCTATTTGATTACCTTTCCATTTCATAGACTTAATGTCACTTGTTTTAGATGAGTACTCCGCTTTCTGTAAAAGGAAGGATAATTGTGGAAATCATTGAAGGGATGTGCTACTTACATGGAAAAGGCGTGATACACAAGGACCTGAAGCCTGAAAATATCCTTGTTGATGATGACTTCCACATTAAGGTAAACCATCATCTGTAGGCTTCCAGAAAGTTGGGTGATTTTAGTTTTAATTCTCCAATGTAAACCCATTCTTGTAAACTGGAGAAGCTAAAGGAAGACCTAGCTCAGCTTATAACTGGTGATGATGGTGCTGAAGGGCTCTACCAGCGATTGAAAGGAAAGACGCAGGCTTGATGGGATCAGGAGATAACTGTCAGGATAACTCATATCTTTTGGGGAGGAGTGGAATTGAGTGGGGGAGATGAGAAGTCCTCTTTCCTAGATTGTGTTTTTCTCCTCTGTTAGAAACATTCAAAAGTTGCCCTTTACATCCTGGAATGGGCCATTGGTGCCATAATGTGTCACCAAGACTCCCCTCCTCTGGAAATGCAGGGGAATGTGAGGGTGTGTGCAGAAAATCTTTAGAGTTCAGATATGGCCTAAGAGTGAGATCAGCGGCCGGGTGCGGTGGCTCATGCCTGTAATCCCAGCACTTTGGGAGGCTGAGGTGAGCAGATCACCTGAGGTTGGGAGTTCAAGACCAGCCTGACCAATATGGAGAAACCCCATCTCTACTAAAAATACAAAATCAGCCAGGCGTGGTAGCGCATGCCTGTAATTCCAGCTGCTTGGGAGGCTGAGGCAGGAGAATCACCTGAAGCCGGGAGGCGGAGGTTGTGGTGAGCCGAGATTGTGCCATTGCACTCTAGCCTGGGCCACAAGAGCAAAACTCTGCCTCTAAGAAAAAAAAAAAAAAGAGAGATCAGCAGTGCATCAAAAACTTCTACTTTGAAATTTTGTTTTATATTTTTATTTGATTATTTGCTTCTGTGTTTTAAAAAATCAGTTTCCTTTGAACACGTTCTTTCCATTGTCATAAAGGGAACAAGGGAAAGGGATTTTTCTTTTGTTCATTCAAGGGCAGGATTTAGCTAGCGGGGAGTGTCATATCTAATTGGCTTTCGCAGCAGGAATCCAAGCACAAGCATCCCAAAGGGGAAGCAGCCCTGGGGGAGGCACTCAGGAGCTGCTGACACAGGGACCTCTCTCCACCAGCAGGTTCTACGTCTAGTGCTTTGTCCTAGTCTTGGACAGGCCTTTAAAAAAAGGCCTGGGAATAAAAATTCCTCATTCATAACCTATCTTCAAATTCGTGACTTCCCTCTTATGTCGTGGGTTAGAATCTGTGGATTTGAGGTAATCATGTGCCACAGTTCATCCCCACATGCTCGCTTGGATTCCTGCAGGCAGAAGTGGAACTGGCACCTGTGTTCTCTTCTTCACTGCACTGCTCTGTCATTTTGCCCTGCCAATTCTGTTCTTGTTCTGCGTCTGACCTTGGTATTTTTCTCTCTGCTTTTTGTCTGTTTTTCTCCTCCTTCCCACCCCTTCTTCTCTTAGGTTCAGGCTACAGCTCAAAACAAGCAACACTGCAGTCCTTATCCTCAGCGTGTCTTTGGGATCCTTGGACACTCGCATCCATGGGCCTCTGGACGCCATTTGGGGAAATAGAAGGTGTAGTACTTAGCCACTGTCTGCTACATAAATGTGCAGAGAAGAAAATAACCATTTTCCCCCCAAGCCCCAGAAATAGTTGAAAAACATATGCAGAGTCAATGGGGAATTAGAACAAATATATTTGGTTGTTACTATTCTTGTCAGAAACCTCTTCTGCTTTTCCCCTCCCCCTTATTGCATAAGGAATGCGATACCAGAATTTCATGTAACGTTTCCTGCGGGGAGATTTTACAAATGGCTGAGGAGACACACAGTTTCTATGAGTCTGTTGAGAAGTCGCCATTTTGAACCTGCCCAGTGAAACCGTTTCAGGAAAATTTACCATACCTTATGTATACTGGACAAGCCCTAGATTTAAAGTCAGATCTGATTTGCTTATGGCCTTCACCAAATAATCCCCGTGGCTCGATGTCTTTCGCAGATCGCAGACCTCGGCCTTGCTTCCTTTAAGATGTGGAGCAAACTGAGTAAAGAAGAGCACAATGAGCTGAAGGAAGTGGACGGCACCTCTAAGAAGAACGGCGGCACCCTCTACTACATGGCGCCTGAGCACCTGAACGACGTCAACGCAAAGCCCACGGAGAAGTCAGATGTGTACAGCTTTGCCGTCGTACTTTGGGCGATATTTGCAAATAAGGAGCCATATGAAAGTAAGGCATTAGAGGAGTGGGGTTTGATATGAACCAACACTGCCATATGAAGTAATGGGCTTCAGTGAAATCAGTTAAGGTTTATAATTGTTTATTCTTTTAATGTCAGTCTTGCCTGCTAAACTGTGAGTTCCGTGAGGGCAAGGACCATATCTGATTTATCCTCTGCTGTCTCCTCAGCATCTACACTCACTGTGCCTGGAACTAATAGGTGCCCAGTAAATTTTTGTTGAATGAATGAGTAATCCCATTTAGGAATCAGTGATCATAGGATGAATAGGACTCTTGATAACGTGTCATTAGCTTGAGAGATGCTGTAAAATTCCAGGGTTCTTCCTAGACAGGAAAGTTGATTGTTTCTGCTTGTGAGGACTTAGCCTTTCACACTACAAGGCATACACTTCATACTTTCACTCATTCACTTACTCCTTCATTCAAGAATTCTTTCTTTTCAGTCCCTACTGTGGGCACTTTAGTCGGCACCGGGAATATAAAGATGAGTAAGTCGTGGCTTGTGTAGGAGAACAGAGACACTCTTCAGTTTGTTAAGTGCATACACTAATGGATGTTTTCCTACATACTCATCTTGGGTGATCATCAGCTCCCGTGGTTTGATGATCATCTCTTTGCAAATGCTTCTTAAATCTGTGTCTCTGGCTCTGGCCTGGATATCCACTTGTCTTATGGTCAGATCCATTGCAGGCACCAAAGGAACCTCCAAAGCAGCATCCCCCAAACGCACCCATCTTGTTGACACTGTCCTGCAGCTCGCCCTGCTTCACTCCTCTTCATATGCTCAGGAAGTGGCATGGCCATCCTTTTACCAAGTTGCCCAATAAGAAACCTTAGAGTCATCCCAGACTTGCCCTTGCCTCTCTCTCCCACATTCTATCAGATCTCAAAACCTATGAATTCAAGATATATATATGACTCAAGATATATCTGCAACCCATCTGCCTCTCTCTGTCCCCACTGGCCTCTGCTTAGTTCAAACCCTCACTGTTTCTGCGGCAGGCTCCTTCCACTGTCCACCATTCATGTGGCAGCCAAAATGGTTGTCCTAAAAGGCACATGTGACCCTTTCCCTCACATACTGGAAATCCTTCCCAGATGCTCCATGGTGTTCAGGATGAAGTTCGAATTCCTTAGTGTGGAATAAAAGGCCTTCATATTCTGGCCTTTGCTTCTCTACTGGCCTCATCCCTGACCCTCCCTTCTTTGTCAGTTAGACTGAGTGAGGAATTTCTGGGATGTGTCATGATCTCTGTGACTTCTAGTCTGTTGATATCCTGCTTCTCTTGCCTGGAGTTCTCCTCCTTAAGTCCCCCTTTCCCATTCTTTACCTGCTAATTTTTCTGGACTCAACAAAGCCTTCCTGGATCTTTTTAGTCAGGGTTGTGCTACTGGAGCCCCTTGTACATTCTTTTTTTTTTTTTTTTCCTTCTAAGACGGAATCTCACTCTGTCACCAGGCTGGAGTGCAGTGGCGCAGTCTCAGCTCACTGCAACCTCCACCTCCCAAGTTCAAGCAATTCTCTTGCCGCAGCCTCCCGAGTAGCTGGGACTACAGGTGTGCACCACCACGCCCAGCTAATTTTTGTATTTTTAGTAGAGATGGGGTTTCACCATGTTGGCCAGGATGGTCTTGATCTCTTGACCTCGTGATCTGCCTGTCTCAACCTCCCAAAGTGCTGGGATTACAGGCATGAGCCACCGTGCCCAGCCCCATCCTTTTTGAATAGCAATGATCACTCTTGTGTTTTAAGTCACTCTCATTAACTTGAGCTCCTGAAGGCAAGGACTGTCCCATATTTGCCTTTGCACATGGAGCGTGCCACTGGCCTTGCCCACATAATCTCTGTTCCATCAGCAGGTAGCTTTGTTGAGAATTTTGTTTTATCTGCAGACATTAAGCTATTGTTTGGTCATCTCTGTAGTGGAATATGTCAGACAAAGAGCTGACATATTCCACTCTATAGAATGAGGCAGCCGTACCACAGGCATACCAGAGGCTGAAAAAAATGAGCAGTATTGTTCAAGTTCTGTCACCTTCCTGCCTGAGAGAGGAGCAAGACCTGAAAGTCTCAACCTCAGCTCCTCTTTGCTTTACAGATGCTATCTGTGAGCAGCAGCTGATAATGTGCATAAAATCGGGGAACAGGCCAGATGTGGACGACATCATTGAGTACTGCCCAAGAGAAATTATCAGCCTCATGAAGCTGTGCTGGGAAGCGAATCCAGAAGCTCGGCCGACATTTCCTGGTAAGAGCATCTTTTCTGACTGTGTAGGATGCATCCTGTGTGGTGATTTTCCCAGTAAGATGTTGTTAGGAACTTGGTTTGAATCCTCAGAAAACTGAGTTCAACTTTACTTGTGGTTTTAAACTGATTTTCTAGATTTCAAACATGTTGTTCAGTGCAAAGAAGCCATCTCTCAAAAGCATGAAGGCACATAAGGCCTTCTTGTTTCCTTTTTTTGTAACTAACTTTTTAACTTGGGTTTAAATATACATAACTTTCAAATTAACATTGTAACTGTTTTCAAGTGCACTGTTCAGGGGCAGTAAGTACAGTCCCACAGTACGTTCACTCTCCATCATCTCTCTCCCTGCCCCTGGCAACCCCCATCCTACTTTCTGTCTCTACGAATTTAACTGCACTGGGTACCGTATATAAGTGGAACCATACAATATTTGTCCTTTTGTGTCTGGCTGATTCCACCTGGCATGATGTCCTCGAGGTTCATCTGTGTTGTAGCAGATGTCAGAATTTCTTTCCTTTTCAAGGCTGAATAATATTCCATTGTATGAATAGACTGCATTTCGTTTCTCCATTCATCCGTGTATGGGCTTTCACCAGCCTTCTTTGCTTCTTCACCTCTTTTATTTCCATCCCCTCCCTTGTTTAGCTGGCATCTTTAGAAAGTATTTTGCCATTTAGACTGGCCCTGTCATACAGGGATGGGGAAAGGTGCCTGGATGTTTGCTGAGCAGTATTCTATGGTGTGGATGTACCACAGTTTAACTATTCACTCCTTGAAAGACTTGTTTCCAGTTCTTAACTGTTGGGACTAAAGCAGCTGTAAATATTCATGTACATGTTTTTGTGTGAATATAAGTCTTCATTTCTCTGGAATACCAAGGAGTGCAGTAGCTAGGTTGTATGGTAGTTTCATGTACAGTTTATTTAAAAAATTCCCAAACATTTTCCCAGAGGGGCTGTGCCATTTTATATTCGGTGTCTGCGTGATGCAGGTTCTTGCATCCTCACCAGCATTGGGTACCCAGGCTACTCACACTTCTGCTCAGCCAACTACAGATTTATTTGAGTATTCCCACAAGCCCCACTTCAGGTCTGGGAATTCATTAGAAAGACTCACAGAACTCAAGAAAACATTTTACTTATGTCTCCCCTTTTACTGTACTGGGTACAATTCAGAAACAGCCAAATGGAAGAGCTGTACAAGGTGAGGTATGGGAGGAGGGTGTACAGAGCTTCCACAGCCTTTCAGGACACACCACGTTCTGGTGCTTCTATGTGTTCAGCAACCTGAAGCTCTCCACACCTTCCCATTTAAGGTGATTTATGGAAGTTCCATTACATACGCATGATTGATTAAATCATGGTCATTGGTGCTTGAGCTTAATCTCCAGTCCCTCTCTCCTCACTGGAAGTCAAAGGTGGAGCTCAAAGTCCCAACCTTCTAATTATAGCTTGGTCTTTCTGGTTGCTAGCCCCCATTCTGAAGCTGCTTAGTTTTCTGACCCCACCCAAAAGACAGTCTTAGAAGACTCCAAGGATTTTAGGTGCTACCTGCCATGAACAAAACCAGACCTTTCTGATTCTCCAAGGTGTCTTATTTTATTGTTTCCTTTCTGTTTAGGGAACTTTCCTTAATCATTCTTTTAGGATATGTCTGAACTCTGTCATTCCAAATTTTTTTTCCTTATAGGTAAGGTGTTATTTTTCTCTTGCTGCTTTCAAGACTTTGCCTTTATTTTTCAGAGATTTAGTTATTTGTCTTGGTGTGGATTCCTTTGGGTTTATTCTGTTTAGGTTTTGCTCAGCTTCTTGAATCTGTAGGTTTATGCCTCTTACCATATCTGGGAAGCTTTTGGCCATTATTTCTGTAAGTACTTTTTAGCCCCCACTCTCTTTCTCTTTTCCTTCTGGAACTGTGACAACAAAAACTGTATCTTTGGTTATAGTCCCACAGGTCCCTGAGGCTTTCTATTTTTTTTTTTTTTCCAGTTAATTTCCTCTCTCTTGTTCAGACTGGATAATTTTATCATTCTGTCTTCCAGTTCACTGATTTTTCTGTTTCTCCTTGATTCCACAGTTGAACCATCTACTGAGCCTTTTTTTTTTTTTTTTTTTTTGAGATGGAGTCTCCCTCTGTCCCCCAGGTTGGAGAATGCAGTGGCGCAAGCCCCGCCTCCCGGGTTCACTCCATTCTCCTGCCTCAGCTCCCTGAGTAGCTGGGACTACAGGCGCCCGCCACCCTGCCCGGCTAATTTGTTGTATTTTTAGTAGAGACGGGTTTCACCATGTTAGCCAGGATGGTCTCGATCTCCTGACCTCATGATCCGCCTGCCTCGGCCTCCCAAAGTGCTGGAATTACAGGCGTGAACCACTGCGCCCGGCCTACTGAGCTTTTTATTATATTTTGGTCATTGAAGTTTTCAGCTCTAAAATTTATATTCTCCCCTTTTTCGCTGAGACTTTCTATTTTTCATTTGTTTCAAGCAGGTTCATAACTATTAATTGAATTGTTTTTATCATGGCTGTTTTAAAATCCTTGACAGGTAATTCTAACATTGCTGTCATCTCAGTATTGGCATCTGTTGATTGTCTTATTTCATTCAGTTTGGGACCTTTCTGGTTCTTCATATAAGGAGTAATTTTTCTGTTGAAACTTGTACATTTTCTTACTGTGTTGTGAGATTCTGTATCCTCTTTAAGCCTTCTGTTTTGGCTGAGCTTTTCTGAGACTGCTCTGACAAGGGAAGAGTGGTGGCCACCTTACTAGTGTTGGGTGGAGGTAGAAGTTCAGCCTCTCCACTCAGCCCTTATTGACGCCCATGGTCAGAGGCTCCTCTTCCCTGCTGGTGAGGGGTGGGAATTCTGGCAGAGTCCACATAGTCCCCACTGACACAGAGGTGAAGGCACCTCATTACGACTGGACAATGTTAAAAGTCCTGATTCTCCACTAGACCTCCTCTGACACTTCCCCAGTGGGGAAGAGGGGTCTTGTTACTGCCATGTGGGGCAAATCCAGGCTATTCTTATGTTCTCCTGACACCATAGGAGTGGAGGGGCTCATTATCAGCTGGCAGGTAGGACAGCCCTGGCTTCCTGTTGGGCCTTCTCTGACATTACCCCGGTGGGGATGTTGAGTTTGTTGAGTTTGTTGAGTTACATTGTTACTGTCTCACCGGTTGGATGTGGAGGCTCTGCACTTGGCCTTAGCTGCTGTGGGTCGGGGTGCAGCCACAGGGTTTGTCTGTGGGGGTTGGCTGGAATAGAGTGGTTGTTGACTAAAAGTTTTCTCCTATCCGAGTACTAACCAGACCTGACCCTGCCTAACTTCCAAGGGCAGACAAGCTTGGGCACATTCAGGATGGCATGGCTGTAGACTGACTAAAGTTAGTTTTCTGTCTGCCCCTTGCTTAGTTCTTTGGCTAGAAAGAGCAGGCTTTGGTTGGAGATTTTTTTTATCTGTGGCCGTTGATGGTTTGAGGTTGCCACCTTTTCAGCCAAGTCTGAGATATGAGGAAAAGAGAAAATCCAGTGAACTCGCTATCGTGTGTTTCATCTGATCCCGAGGTTTCCCGCTGGTCTGCCTTCTTCTCTTCTCCTTTCAGAGACTCTGTACGTTTGTTTTATAAATAATATAGAGGATGTTTTTGTTGTGCTTAGAAGGAAGAATAAGAAGAAAGTATGTCCACTCCATCTTCCTGGAACTGGAAGTTTCTTTTTTCTTTGAAGGCTAACAGCTGTAACCCATTACTCTAAATCCTTGCTCTGAGTATCCCGACCTCTCATAAATCTGATGCCAGAGGGACAGAAACAGGGAGTTCACCCATCCCTGTCCAGCTGGAGATGGACTCACATCGGGGAGCGGTTTGTGTTGCAGCCGGAGAAACTGCAGCACGAATAAAAAGCACAAAGAGCACAGGCTATTTCAGCAGAAACCCCTGGTTCCTGTGTTAGCCCATCCCTTGTTCTATTCATCTTATTAGTCTCTATCAGAGTCAGTGATTTGGAGCTTAAGTTTTTATTTTACTGCTTTGCCCACAGACTGAGGTAAGTAATTCAAAGATAATAGATGGCTAATATTTTTTATTTTATGTGAGGAAATAATTAAGAAATTTAAAGTACATTTTATTCTTACAGGCATTGAAGAAAAATTTAGGCCTTTTTATTTAAGTCAATTAGAAGAAAGTGTAGAAGAGGATGTGAAGAGTTTAAAGGTAGGCAATATAGCAGATGCTTGAAATATTAACATATCAAAATATATACTGTCAATCGTGAAAACCAAAACAATGTGATTTGTTATTGAGATTTGAGGTAAGCTAGCTTGGTAAACATATAAAACAAAATGAGCAATTGTCTGCAAATATCATCCTGTTGGCATACTGGACCCATTTCTCCTTCAAAACTCATGAAATGAGAGAACAAATATATAGCAGTATGAAAACAAAAGCACAGTGTCACTGGCAAAGAATGGAAAACACCATAAGTGGATCAGTCATTTTGAGGAATTCTTGAAAGATAGAAAGACCACAGATTTATTCTGCGGAGACATACAACAGAAAAGGAATACTGACCCAAGACATAATGCTGAGGAAGAAGTACCGGAGGGGCAGTCTTGGGTCAGTGTACAGAAGTAACAGCACAGTCACCTGGAACACTGACAGGGGAGTCACTCGAGAACCTCATTTATGCTAGTTAGGAAAGCTGGCTTCTCTCCCTACTTCTCCTGTACTTAGCAACAGATGGCAGTAGCATCTGCCCAAGACTGAAGCAAGGAGGTGCTGTCTGGGGTGAGAGGGGCATGACAAGGCCCCATTAGGAACCAATCAACTAAGAGAATGGAGACCACCCTGCCCCGCCCCCGCCGACTCTGGAATCAAGCTACTGCCATACGTCTTCCAGCAACTTACCCCCATAGTCATGAACAGGAGGCTACGGCAAATGAAACAGGCAAACAGATTTTAAAATATAATTTTAAAAAAAGATTGGAATCAGCTAAGATAAACTCTAAGGCAAAAAAGCATTCCCTCAAACAATCAGGAATATTTCATAATGATAAAAGGCCCAATGCATCTGGAAAGTATAACCACTTTAAATGTGAATCCACCGTCAATAACATGACCTCAAAGTCAACGCAGCAAAAAGTGACAGAACTCAAAGAAAAACAGACAAATCCACAATTACAACTGAAGAAGAATTTTTTTTTTTTTTTTTTTGAGATGGAGTCTCGCTCTGTCCCCCAGGCTGGAGTGCAGTGGCACTATCTTGTCTCACTGCAAGCTCCACCTCCTGGGTTCACACCATTCTCCTGCCTCAGCCTCCCGAGTAGCTGCTGGGACTACAGGTGCCTGCCACCACGCCCAGCTAATTTTTTTTTTTTTTTAAATAGAGACGGGGTTTCACCATGTTAGCCAAGATGGTCTCAATCTCCTGACTTCATGATCTGCCCGCCCTGTCCTCCCAGAGTGTTGGGATTACAGGCGTGAGGCACTGTGCCCAGTCAAGTTTTTTGTTTTTTGAGACAGAGTCTTGCTTTGTTGCCCAAACTGGAGTTCAGAGGCGCAATCTCAGCTCACTGCCACCTCTGCTTCCTGCGCTCAAGCGATTCTCCTACCTCAGCCTCCCAAGTAGCTGGGATTAAAAGCATGTGCCACCATGCCCGGCTAATTTTTTTATTTTTAGTAGACATGGGGTTTCACCATGTTGGCCAGGCTGGTCTTGAACTCCTGGCCTCAAATGATCCACTTGCCTCGGCCTCCCAAAGGGCTGGGATTACAGGTGTGAGCCACCACGCCAGGCCTATATCTCAAACTTAGTTTTGTGTGTGTGGAAAGTGGGTGTGAGGAGTGGAACTTGACAAACCCACTCTGAAATCCATATGAAAAGGTAAAGAAGAGAGTAAGAACAGCCAAAATGCCCTTGAGGAAGGACAAGACTAGTAGTGAAGGGCTTGTCTTATCAGATTCTTATCAAGAATTATAAAGCTATATTAAAAAGACAGTGGTATTGGTGTGGGGTGGACAGATACTGTTGGAATGGAGTTGAAAACCCATAGATTTACACATACCTAGAAACTTGATTTTGACAGAGATGGCACTGCAGAGCAGTGGGGAAATGACAGTCTTTTCAATAAATGGTGCTGAGACAACTGGGTATCCGCACGGTACAAAAATGAAATTGGGCTTCTACCTTACACCATACCAAAAAATCAGCTCCAGGTTGATTACTGACAGAAATGTGAAAGATAAAATTATAAAGCTATTGGAAAATATAGGAGAGTTTCTTCATATCAGGACAGGGAATCCTCAACAGTACACAAAAGCATTAGCTGTAATGGTAAGAATTGATACATTTTAAAATTTATAAAATTTAAAATGAATTTTAAAAATGAATTTGTAAATGAATTCATTGTAAAATTCTATAAATTTATAGATACATTTAATACATTTATAAATTTATAAAATGTTTAAATTAATTTATAAATTCATTTAAAAACTTTTATTCATCAAAATAAACTATTAAGAGAATGGAGGCTGGGCATGGTGCCTCATGCCTGTAATCCCAGCACTTTGGGAGGCTGAGGTGGGAGGATCGCTTGAGGCCAGGAGTTCGAGACTAGCCTGGGCAACATAGTGAGACGACCTCCTTACAAATAATAATTAAGAAATTAGGGCCGGGCACGGTGGCTCATGCCTGTAATCCCAGAACTTTGGGAGGCCGAGGCGGGCGGATCACAAGGTCAGGAAATTGAGACTATTCTGGCTAACACGGCGAAACCCATCTCTACTAAAAATACAAAACATTAGCCGGGCATGGTGGCGGGCGCCTGTAGTCCCAGCTACTCGGAGGCTAAGGCAGGAGAATGGCGTAAACCCGGGAGGCGGAGCTTGCAGTGAGCCGAGATCGTGCCCCTGCACTCCAGCCTGGGCAACAGAGCTAGACTCCGTCTCAAAAAAAAAAAAAAAAGAAATTAGCTGGGCATGGTGGTGTGCACCTGTGGTCCCAGCTACTCAGGAGGCCGAGATGAGAAGCCTGCTTGGGCCTGGGAGGCTGCGCCATTGTGCTCCAGCCTGGGTTACAGAACGAGACCCCATATCCAATAAATAAATAAATAATAAACAAGCAAACTAGTCACAGAATGGGAGAAGTGCGGCACACACATAACTGACCAAGTACTTGAATACATAAAATCTAGAGAAATTTTACAAATCAGAAAGGAAAAGATACGCAACCCAGTTAAAACAGGGATGAAATAGTTGAATGGGCACTTCACCAAAGAGAATAAATATACCAAAAAAGCGCACAACTTTACTGGTAATTGGAGAAATGCAAATTAAAACCACAATAAGATAATATTATGTGTCTAAACATTGGCAAACATGGCTTTTCTAAACGACAAGAAATAAATCCAAATAAACAGTGAAATGTGTTGATGGATGGAAAGACTTGACATACTAAAGCTGTCTATTCTCCCCAACGTCATTTACAAAGGAGTGCAATCCTAATTAAAAGCACAACCAATTCTTTATGGAATTCAACAAGCTGACTCTTAAGTTTATGTGAAAGAAAAAATGTACAAAGATAGCCAAGAAAATTCTGAAGAAGGAGATCAGAACAGTGTAGACTAGAGCAAGGATAATCAAATAGATTAATAGAAAAGGTGAGTCTTTGCAGGTTGGGTTTTCCAGAAGCAGCCACTGAGTTGGAGACTGGGGTGCAAGGAAGGAGTGGGAAGCAGGAATGAGCAGAGGAAGAAGTCAGGGCAACGAAGCCTGAACAGAGAGCTCTGGCAGCAGGGAGCGCTGAGCAAATGCCCCTCTGGCTTATTCCACGTCAGGCTGAAATGGCCAAGGCTTTATCTCCTTGCCTTTCTCAGTCACTGGCTCAGAAGGGGAGTACCTGGGGCAAAGAAGTTCACAGCTACAGGCTGTTTGTTCACTCAGCTCCTTGCAACAGGGCAGCAACTCCCTCCTTGCTGGGGAATCTGACAGGCCCATCACTGTGTCTACCACAAAGTCCAGAATCAATCCATGTATGTTTCTTAAGCTGCACACAAAATTTGCAAAGTATTAAGATTATTGTATATGACCTCATGAAAATGGAAAGGGAGTTGAAAAGGAGAAATTGTGTTTAGCAAAGGATTAATACCTAGAATATTTAATAGAATGTCTACAAATAAAAAACAAAAATAGGCTGGGCACGGTGGCTTACACCTGTAATCCCAGCACTTTGGGAAGCCGAGGCGGGCGGATCACAAGGTCAGGAGATCGAGACCATCCTGGCCAACATGGTGAAACCCCGTCTCTACTAAAAATACAAAAATTAGCCAGGCATGATGGCGGGAGCCTGTAGTCCCAGCTACTTGGGAGGCTGACGCAGAAGAATAGTGTGAACCCAGGAGGCGGAGCTTGCAGTGAGCTGAGATCGCGCCACTGCACTCCAGTCTGGGCAACAGAGCGAGACTCCGTCTCAAACAAACAAATAATTCAAAAGAAAAATAATAGACAAAGAACACAGACAATTCAAAAAATAAACTGAACAACACAGTTCAGAAAAGATATTTGGCCTTGCCAACAGAGAAAGGCAAAATGAACCTGTTACGATTTTTCATCCATTAGATTGAAATTTTCAAAAGATTGATGATACAATGTGTTGGTGAAAATGCAGAATAACAAGCAGTCTTCTGCACTATTGGTAAGAGTGTAAATTGGAGAAGTTTATTAGAAGGTGTGGCATCCAACAAACGCCACAAGCCCATAAGTTTTGTTGCAATTCTACTCTCAGTATTATCTGTACCACTCACATGTACACTCAAAGATGTAGCTTCCGTTCTTTGCACCTTAGTTTATAAGAGTGAAAAATTACAAACAACTCAAATGTCCATAAGTAAATGCCCTAAATTATGATTCATCTAAACTACACAATACTAATAGCCATTTAAGAGAAAGAGGTGGCAACTAACATGTAATGATATAGAAAGATCTTCAAGATTAGCTGTTAGTGAAAAAATAAGTCACATAACAATACTTACCGTGTGGTCCTTTTAATGTTAAAATATATATAGGCCGGGTGCAGTGGCTCATACCTGTAATTCCAGCACTATGGGAGGCCGAGGTGGGCGGATCACTTGAGGTCAGGAGTTGGAGACCAGCTGGCCAACATGGCAAAACCCTGTCTCTACTAATAATACAAAAAACTGGCCAGGTGTGGTGGTGCATACCCGTAATCCCAGCTACTCAGGAGGCTGAGGCATGAGAATTGCTTGAACCCAGGAGGTGGAGGTTGCAGAGAGCCAAGATCGTGCCACTACACTCCACCCTGGGCGACAGAGTGAAACTGTGTCTCAAAAAAATATATATATATAAATATACACACACACACACACACACATATATATACACACATATATATACACACACACATATATATAGTATATTTCTGGAATGTGTGTGCAAATTCCTAGAGAGAGAATAAGAGTGATATGCACCACACTCTGGATAAGGCTTGCCTCAGGGGAATGGAAGAAGGCGCTCAAGGAATGTTTGGGTGTTATTCTGTGTGATTCTGCATTGTTTGAATCTTTGGGGTTTCTTTTGGTGTTTTTTTTTTTTGGTTTTTTTTTTTGAGACAGTCTCACTCTGTCACTCAGGCTGGAGTGCAATGGCACAATCTGGGCTCACTACAACCTCCACCTCCGGGTTCAGGTGATTCTTGTGCCTCAGCCTCCCGAGTAGCTGGGATTACAGGCGCGTGCCACTACACCCAGCTAATTTTTTTGTATTTTTAGTAGAGATGGGGGTTTCACCATGTTAGCCAGGCTGGTCTCCAACTCCTAACCTCAGGTGATCTGCCCGCCTTGGCCTCCCAAAGTGCTGGGATTACAGGCATGAGCCACCATGCCTGGCCATGTTTAACTTTTAAGAACTATTAAATTGTTTTACACAGTAGCTACACCATTTTAAATTCCCCACCAGCAATGCACAAGGATTCCAATTTCTCCAGCATCTTCCCAACAGTTTATTTATCATTTTCATATTACAGTCACTCTCAGGAGTATGAAAGTGTGCCTCATGGTGGTTTTGACTTGCATTTCCCTGTGACTAATGATGTTGAGCATCTTTTCATGGCTTGTTGGCCATTTGTATATTTTCTGTGGAGAAACTGCTATTCAAGTTCTTTGCCCATTTTTGAATTGGGTTGTTGGTTTTTTGTTGTTGAGTTGTAGGATTTTTTTTTTTTAATGTTCTGGATTTCATCCATTATCAGATATATATGGTTTGCTATTTTTCCCCATTATTTTATTTTATTTATTTATTTTATTATTATTATTATTTTTTTTTGAGACAGACTCTCACTGTGTCGCCACCCAGGCTGGAGTGCAGTGGCGGAATGGTGGCTCACTGCAACCTCTGCCTCCCGGGTTCGAGATACTCCTGCCTCAGCCACCTGAGTAGCTGGGACTACAGGCACACACCACCACACCTGGCTAGTTTTTGTAGTTTTAGTAGAGACAAGGTTTCACCATGTTGGCCTGGCTGGTCTCGAACTCCTGACCTCATGTGATCCACTCGCCTTGGCCTCCCAAAGTATTGTTTCCTTATTCTGTGGGTTATCTTTTTACTCTCTTCATAGTATCCTTTGATGCACAGAGCTTTTAATTCTGATGTATTTTTACTTTTTACTTTCGTTTGTGCTTTTGCGTCATAACCAAGAAATCGCTGCCAAGTCCAGTGTCATGAAGCTTTTTCCCTGTGTTTTCTTCTAAGAATTTTTGTGGCACTAGCCCTTAAATCAAGTCTTTGATCCATTTTGAGTTAATTTTTATATGGTATGAAATAAGGGTCCAACTTCATTATTTCATATGTGTATATTCAGTTTTCCCCATCGAATGGTCTTGGCAACCTTGTCAAAAATCAATTGGCTGTTTATGGGAGGGTTTATTCCTGGGCTCTCCATTCTGCCCCACTGGCATATGTGCCTGTCTTTATGCCAGTACTACACCGTTTTGAATACTGTAGGTTTGTAGTAAGTTTTGAAATCAGGAACTGTGAGTCCTCCAACCTTGTTCTTTTTAAAGGTCATTTTGGCTATTTGGGAAAAACAATAATGAAAAAAAATTACTACTTGTAAGATCTATGTGAAATTTCTACCTTCTGAAAATATGAATTCTCATTTATGATTTTCTGGGACTCAGTCTTTTCTGTTGTTAAAGTGTGTATTTATGCTCTTAATTACAGAAAGAGTATTCAAACCAAAATGCAGTTGTGAAGAGAATGCAGTCTCTCCAACTTGATTGTGTGCCAGTGCCTCCGAGCAGGTCAAATTCAGGTAAATTACACTGTGCTCAAAATCCATTCATTTATTTGTTTGGTTACTCATTCACTCCGCTCTAAAATGCTACTCAGGACCACATGGGAAACAGAAGAAACTATAAAAGTGAACACCTGCCTTAAAGGAATTTATAATATTCGAGAGTCAAGTTACATGTATTTGAAATACGAAGTAACAGTGTGCTCACCAGTCAGTGTTCTGAACAAAAGGCCTAACATACCTGATGGGGAGAAGTGATGATTCAGAAGAAGGTAAGGGACATATGTGAGAGCAAAGTCCCTGAGGAGGTCGTAGTGACTTAGAGCCAGACTACAAGCAGAGAGGCTCGTCCCAGGTCAAGTAGGAATACTTTTTCCACTGTAACAAAAAGGATGGCAGAGTGTAGGATACTGCAGCCACTTAGCTACCTGATCTGTGGCTAATTACTTAACCTCTCCTAAACTTCACCCATCAAATCATCATCATTGCTCCTCCTCTCATAGGGCTCTTCAAGAATGAAAGAATTCATGGGACGTGCTTAGGACAGAGCTGCTGCAGATTTTTTTTTTTTTTTTTTTTTTTTGAGACAGAGTCCCTCTGTCACCCCGGCTGGAGTGCAGTGGTGTGATCTTGGCTCACTATAACCTCTGCCTTTCAGGATCAAGCGATTCTTCTGCCTCAGCCTCCCAAGCAGCTGGGATTACAGGCATGCACCACCATGCCTAGCTAATTTTTGTATTTTCAGTAGAAACGGGGTTTTGCCATGTTGGCCAGGCTGGTCTCGAACTCCTGACCTCAGGTGATCCGCCCGCCTCGGCCTCCCAACGTGCTGGGATTACAGGCGTGAACACCGTGCCTGGTCGCAGATCTTATTTTCCACCTGAATCGCTCCAAGGAGACAACTACCTTCTCTGCTCCAAACCAAGTCCCTTTTTTCCTTGATCATCCCTGCAACAGCCGCTCTTCTCTTGCTTGCTATAATTTTCCTAGTACTCTCTCACTGCCAGCGAGGAGCTCCTATTATTTGTAAAGCTTGTGGGAAGAGGACCATCTCCTAAATGCTTCGGACTGGTCTCTTACTTATTTTCTGTGCGTCCCTCTGAGATACAGATTCATGATGGCGCTCAGATTTTATTTTACGTTTTAATGTTTCACGAACCCCATTCTAATGTTGATCATTTCTTCTCAGCCACAGAACAGCCTGGTTCACTGCACAGTTCCCAGGGACTTGGGATGGGTCCTGTGGAGGAGTCCTGGTTTGCCCCCTCCCTGGAGCACCAGCAAGAAGAGAATGAGCCCAGTCTGCAGAGTAAACTCCAAGAGGAAGCAAACTACCATCTCTATGGCAGCCGCATGGACAGGCAGATGAAACAGCAGCCCAGACAGAATGTGGCTTACAACAGAGAGGAGGAAAGGAGACGAAGGGTCTCCCATGACCCTTTTGCACAGCAAAGACCTTATGAGAATTTTCAGAATACAGAGGTAAAAGGCACCGCTTATTCTAGTGCAGCCAGTCATGGTAATGCAGTGCCCCAGCCCTCAGGGCTTAGCAGCCAACCTCAAGTGCCATATCGGAACAATGTTTTATATAGCTCACATGGCTTTGGAACAAGACCGCTGGATCCAGGAACAGCAGGTCCCAGAGTTTGGTATGGGCCAATTCCAAGTCCTATGTCTAGTCTGTATAAAATCCCGGTGCCTGAGACCAACTATTTAGGAAACACACCCACGATGCCATTCACCTCCTTGCCACTAACAGGTAAATGGGTCTTTGATAGTCACAACCTTGTCTTTTTTTATTTTTCAGAAAGTAAAGCAACCAACCAGCTCTATTGTAGATTGTGGGTTGTGATGGGGACAGAGGGTATCGTCCACGGCCAGATGCAAGTTGCCGCTGTGGAATGGACTCCGCCAGGCCACTTGGTCTGGGAGTGTTTCATCTGGGGCTAGGATTCATCACACATGTCCACAAGCATCAGGAGGTGCTTGTGACTGGCAGGCGCCTTTGACTCTAATGTGGAGTGCATAGTAGTCCTATTTCACCCAATCTCTGATCAATGGGAAGTTATCTGCTTATTTGCTTTTACCTTGCTTGCTGTTTTTTGAAGATAAGAAATCAGTTTTGGATATTTTTGTTTCTTACCTTATATAGCTCAAAGACTACCATTAGTGATGAAAAACTTTTTTTTAACTCCCATATATCTATCAGGTGAAGTAAAAGGTACGTGATAGTAGTTACTGGCAGTCTAGAATGGAAGTGATTTAATGTAATATCCAGCATTTTTATCAAATAATACTCACCAACATCACCTTAACCACCTGAACGGCATCTACCAGTGATACCCACAAGTGTCCTGGAGATCCTGAAATCAACTCAGGTACAGGAAGCTTTGAGAACCACAAAGCTTAGTTACAATTTCTTTCAAAACGCCAAATTCTCCAAAAACATCCTTTGAAAACATCCTCGATTTTTTCCATAGGTTTTATTATTAAGATCTGTAGAATGCAAAATACTGGATTAGACATTAAGCAGTATCCAAGTCATGTATAATCCTATGAGCAGAATATCCTTTTGTTTCCTTCATGTCTGGGGATAAAATTTTTCGTTAGTATTGCCATATCATTTTATTCATTCATGATTAAGTCAATAAAAATTTCAGCTGGGGCCATGGTTGGCCAGGCATGGTGGCTCATGCCTGTAATGCCAGCACTTTGGGAGGCCGAGGTGGGTGGATCATTTGAGGCCAGGAATTTGAGACCAGCCTGGCTAACATGGTGACACCCTGTCTCTACTAAATAATACAGAAATTGGCCAGGCGTGGTGGTGCATGCCTGTAGCCCCAGCTACTAGGGAGGGTGAGGCAGGAAAATCACTTGAACCCTGGAGACAGACGTTACAGTGAGCTGAGATATGCCACTGCACTCCAGCCTGGGAAACAGAGTGAGATTGTGTCTCAGGGAAAAAAAAAAAAATTCTGTAATCCCAGCACTTTGGGAGGCTGAGGCAGGCAGATCACGAGGTGAGGAGATTGAGACTATCCTGGCTAACACAGTGAAACCCCATCTCTACTAAAAATACAAAAAAAACAAAAAAACAAAAAAAATAGCTGGGCATAGTGGCACGCGCCTGTAATCCCAGCTACTCGGGAGGGTGAGGCAGGAGAATCACTTGAACCTGGGAGGCAGAAGTTGCAGTGAGCCGAGATCGCATCACTGCACTCCAGCCTGGGTGACAGAGCGAGACTCCATCTCAAATAAAGAAAAGAAAAAAGAAAAAAAAAAATCCAAAGCACTTCCCACTTTGTGCCATGCAGTTCTCCAGGCACTGGAGCTATAACTGAGCCAACAGCCTGAGTGAGTCCCTTCCCTCATATAGTTTAAATCCTAGTAGACAGAAGGCAGACCCTAAACCAATATTTAATGTGTAATTTTTTATCTTCTTTCTACATGAGCAACCCAAATACACTAGTTTAGTGCCAAAATCGCTTTCTGTTTTCACTCTTGCTGTGGTTCCTGATTCTGCCAGTGACAGATGTACAGGCATCCAGCTTCTTCAGGATTCTGAGATGCTTTCAGGGGGGAGGGGGCACTTGGATCTATAATAAATAATAGAATTTTCTGTGTTTCTGCTCCCAAAGATGATCCTGCTAAGTACTGAGCTAGTAAATGAACACGCTGAGTTTCTCCTTGCAAATTTAAATAAGTCTTTTGCTTGCTTTTGTTATCAAAATGTCCTAACTCTGTACCAAAATGTGAGTTTTCTAATTTGCCATACCATAGAAGAAGGGTGTGTGTATCCAGTAAGTACAAAAGGAAAATAAAAGTCTTCGTCTCAGTGAAAGAGCTCCTAGACCCACTGTTTCTATTCACTGTGCTGTTTGAAGTGAGGTTAGAAAAGGGAAGCTCACTGGGCTAGGGGTCAGGAGACCCAAGTCGAGTCCTGCGTGTGCCAGTCACTGCAGTGGGTGACTTTGGGAAAGTCGTTTGCCTTTCCAGAGTTCATTCTCCTCAATTATCAATGAAAATGTTACGAGTGAAAATTTATACATTGTAAGCTCTAGTGTGTTTCTAATATTGCATTCGTTGCTCCGTTTCATAACTTTCATGGCTTTTCCAGTGGCCAGATTTGGGCAGAAAGCACTGATTCAAGAAAACAAATCTCCAAGTAGAGAGGTGCAGGGTAGACCTCCATGTAAGCCCGTGGTGAACGCAGACTGTGAGTGACAAACACAGTGTCAGTACAAGCTGGAGGTGGTGGGCCAGGAGGATTCAACAGGGTAAGGCAGCTTAGCACTGTGCCTGCCGATGCACAGAATAAGTGCTCAGTAAATGGTAGCTGCTGTTATTAGCACTGTTATTATCACTGTTAACAAGAACACCTAGACAGCCTTGAGTGCTGGAAGGTACCTCAGAGACTGTCACAGCGGTTCCTTGCTAGGATTCCAAGGACCCCAGTTTCAGCAGCTTCATAAACACCCAGAACTACATACAGATGGTGTGTGCGTGCACATCCTATATTTCTTACACCTGTCTCTAGAGAGGGTCCCTAGTTTCCTTGGCTTCCTCAGAGAAAATGCAACAAATGAGCACGGTGCCTGGTCCAGAAGGCGGCCTATCTTAGGGTCAGGTGTGCTGACAAAGGTACCTGGAGCTGCTATTCATTTCCCTCCTCAGAACTGTCTTCTCGACCACCTTCTCTCTCCTACAAGGATATGCTAAGTGCTCTTTAGGGACAGTACCGACACCTGAGAAATTCAGCTCAGCATGAATGTCACTGAGCCCATGCCCGTACCAAGTCCCAGGCTAGCGAGTGTAAGGAATACAAAAACAAGTGGGTATGGTTGCTGCCCTCTCGGGACTCACATTCTAGTGGAGAAGTCAGACAGACCCAGCTCAGATACAGAGCGGCCCAGGGCAGAGTGCTGAGTCTAGGATTACAGTGCAGGCTCACGGAAGGAGGGGGAATTTGTGCTGGGCCTGTGGCAGAAAATCACAGATAGGGAGAAGCATGTCGGAAGGTCAACAGTCCAGGCAGAGGCAGGAGCACCATGTCAGCAGATCAGTGGGAAATCTGGTGGGACTGGAGTCTCTGGAGTGGAGAGAGGGCGGAGACAGTGAAAGGAAGATCAGAGACAGAGGGTAGGGCAGAGCTGTGGCTAGCTTCTGAATACTGAACCTGAGAGGTTTGAGTTTATCAGGTAAAGGAGGAGGACCCTTCACAGATGTTCAGAGTCGTGGGATCCTGCTGGGAAGTGTGGCTGAGCTGTGCTGTGCTGTTCATCCACCTCTGATTTCTGACTTAGCCACATTTTTCTATGGTAAAATTCAAAAACATAAAATATACCATTTTAACCATTTTTACAGTGGCATTACCTAACATTCATATTGTTATGCAACCATCACCACCATCCATCTATGTAACTGTTTTGATCTTGCAAAGCTAAAATTCTGTATCCATTAAACACCAACTCCCCAGCTCCCCTCCCAGCCCCTGACAACCACCATTCTACTCTCCATTCCTGTGACTCTGACTCTAGGTACCTCATATGAGTGGAATCGTGCAGCATTTGTCTTTGTGGCTGGCTTCATTCACTTAGGAAAGGTCCTCAAGGTTCATGCATGTTGTAGCATGTGATGTGATTCCCTTCCTTTTCAAGGCTGACTATTCCATTGTGTAGCCAGGCCACAGTTGGGTTATCCACTCATCTGCTCATGGGTGCTTGGCTGATTTCCACCTTTCGGCTCTTGTGAATAACACTGCAATGAACATGTGGGTAGAAACATTTCTTAGAACCTGTTTTAGTTCTTTTGGGTATATACTCAGAAATGGAATTGCTGGATCATATGGTAATTCTATCTTTAATTTTTTTGAAGAATCACGATAACTCTTTTTTTTTTCTTTTGAGACAGATTCTCGCTCTGTCACCAGGCTGGAGTGCAGTGGCACAATCTCGGCTCGGCTCACTGCAAGCTCCGCCTTCTGGGTTCAAGTGATTCTCCTGCTTCAGCCTCCTGAGTAGCCGGGATTACAGGCACCCACCACCATGCCTGGCTAATTTTTGTATTTTTAGTACAGATGGGGTTTCACCATGTTGGCCAGGCTGGTCTTGAACTCCTGACCTCAGGTGATCCACCCACATCGGCCTCCCAAAGTGCTGGGATTACAGGCGTGAGCCACTGTGCCCGGCCCACTATACTGTTTATAGCAGTGGCTATACCATTTCACATTCCCACCAGCAGTGCACAGGGGCTTCATTTCCTCCACATCTTTGTCAATATGTGTTATTTCTGTCTTTTTTTTTTTTTTTTTAATTGTAGGCATCCTAATGGGTATGAGGTGGTTTAGCCAGATTTTAAAGAAGAATAGTTTGAACTGTGGCATAGGATAATGAACTTAATGTTTGGGGTAAAGCCCTGCTTGTTTGCCATGCTGTACTTTTTCTCTTGCTTTTGATCTAGAATTACTTACCTGTGTGTTTCTCTTTGTTCAGATGAATCTATAAAATATGCTATATACAATAGTACTGGCATTCAGATTGGAGCCTACAATTATATGGAGGTTGGTGGGACGAGTTCATCACTACTAGACAACACAAATACGAACTTTAAAGAAGAGCCAGCTTCCAAGTACCAAGCTATCTTTGGTAAGATACCCTGGAGGGACCCCATGTCTAGCAACCTTGAACTTTCTTACTTGTGAGAAGGACATAGTGGAATCTTAAAATTTCTCTGATAATTCTTCTTGAAAGTTTTCTCATGTTACTTCTGCAAAATATCTTTGTAATTTCCATATAATTCCTTTGTAATTTATTTGTTTTTTGTTTTTTTTTTTTTCTGAGACGGAGTCTCGCTCTGTCGCCCAGGCTGGAGTGCAGTGGCGAGGTCTCGGCTCACTGCAAACTCTGCCTCCTGGGTTCACGCCATTCTCCTGCCTCAGCCTCCCAAGAAGCTGGGACTACAGGCGCCCGCCACAACGCCCGGCTAATTTTTTTTGTATTTTTAGTAGAGACGGGGTTTCACTGTGTTCGCCAAGATAGTCTCGATCTCCTGACCTCGTGATCCACCCGCCTCGGCCTCCCAAAGTGCTGGGATTACAGGCGTGAGCCACCGTGCCCGGCCAATTTATTTGTTTTTAATATGGAGATAATCACAGTATTTATGGATTTGTTGTGAAAATTAAATGAGTTGGTATGTATAAAAAGCTTAGAAGACTGCCTGACACATAGTAAGTTCTATAAAAAGTGTTAAACTTTCATCATTAGCATCATCAGTATTACTGGTCAGACCTGGAAGAAACAGCTGTGTCAGGCCCTCATCAAAGGAGATCCTGTACAAGATAGAAGACTGTGCCCTCCACAGCACTTCTGTAATAAAATCAAGAGGACTATCTCTTACAGGGTTCTACTGTGTAGGCCCATAATGCTAATCCCAAAGTACAGTCTGGAAAAAGTCATGAGGCCAAAACAACTTGATTAAGAACCCAGCTTTCTAATTAACCATGGGATTGGCTATTTTTTTTTTTTCTGTAAAGGAACCAGTAGGAAATGTTAGGCCCTGCTGTCTTTGAGGTCTCTCTTGGAACTACTCAACTCTCTTATTGTAGTGCAAAAGCAACCACAGACAATACACACGTGAATGAGCACGGCTGTGTTCCAATAAAAGTTTATTTACAAACGCTGGCAGGGAGCCAGATGTGGCCCACAGGCCATAGTTTGCTTTTAAAATACCTAGAACAGAAATTCTGAATGGTCAAGGGCACCTGTGAGAATCTAATGAAACGCGGGATCTACCCCCTACAGAAATATTGACAAAATTTGGAAAGTATGTTGGGAAGTTCTTGGACTGCTGACAATCGACTGGTGGCAATACAAGCCACATTATGGAGGGCTGAGGAAAGAAGGGAGGTTGAAAGGAAAAATGAAATATTTTCTTCCTTATGTTCTGTTTAATGAGGTCGTGTGGGGATTAAGGAATTTTGTTGTGGTTGTTTTACATTTTTGTTTCCTTTTATTATTTTTACGAAGGGCTAAGGGAAAGAACCAGTAGAAGGAGAGAGGTTATGGCTATTTGAGAAGAGGCAATGTCAGTTGGCGGCGGGGTGGAGTAAAGGAGGGGAAGGGTCCAGAAACAGACCTTGAAGAGTAGTTACCTTTGTCTTGAAAGACAAGGAAGGCATTGTAACTGAATGGGTTCACACCTGCTGGACAATTCCTTGATTAAGTAAGAGGAAAGTGACCTGTTGGGCGGGGGTGGTGGTCAGGAGTTGCGTGGCTTTCACTCTGGCCAGATGTAAGTGGAAAATGTCTAAAAGGAACAAAAATGGTGGTTTTTCCCTTTACATCCAGGAACGTCTAATACCAACAGGGTCACGGGCTAAGATTGAATAGAACACCCAACCTGGTAGCCACATAGGGGTTTTGTTCACAGAGCCATCAGCTGTGGTTCAGGGATGTGTCTACTGGGAGGAAGGAATGCCTTATTCTTTTTTATTTGTTTTGTTTTTGAGACCACATCCTGCTCTATGGCCCAGGCTGAAGTACTGTGGCACAATCATGGCTCACTGCAGCCTTGAACTCCTGGGTTCAAGTGATCCTCCTGTCTCAGCCTCCTGAGTAACTGAGGAGTAACTGAGTACAGGCATGTGCCACCATACCCAGCTAATTTAAAAAAAAAATTTTTTTTTTATAGAGACAGGGTCTTGCTATGTTGCCCAGGGCTGGTCTAGAACTCTTGGGTTCAAGTGATCTTCCTGCCTTGGCCTCCCAAAGTGTTGGGTTATAGGCATGAGCCACCACGCCAGGCCAGGAATGCCCTATTGTAATTCACATAAAGACTGCATGTGGGCTAGCAGGCATGTGAAGTGTCTCCAGTGCAGCAACAGCTGTAGAACTAAGAAGTTATCTTTGCCCTGTCTTCTGGTACTCTTCATTTCACTTGGGTTTTTTAGCAGTTCAGGAAGCTGGAATGTTTGAATGGGCTTTAGCTTGACACCTTCTTCTCTTTCCCATTTGGCAGATAATACCACTAGTCTGACCGATAAACACCTGGACCCAATCAGGGAAAATCTGGGAAAGCACTGGAAAAACTGTGCCCGGAAACTGGGCTTCACACAGTCTCAGATTGATGAAATTGACCATGACTATGAGCGAGATGGACTAAAAGAAAAGGTTTACCAGATGCTCCAAAAGTGGGTGATGAGGGAAGGCATTAAGGGAGCCACAGTGGGGAAGCTGGCCCAGGTGCTCCACCAGTGTGCCAGGATCGACCTTCTGAACCACTTGATTTACGTCAGCCAGAACTAACCCTGGATGGGCTATGGCAGCTGAAGCGGACTCCTCACTTAGTGAATAACCCCAGAAAGCTGGCTGCCTCAGAGCATTCAGAATTCTGTCCTCACTGATGGGGGTTCTGTGTCTGCAGAAATATTGTTTCCTGTATTTCATAGCTGGGGAATGGGGAAATAAGTCTGCAGCAAAGGGGTCTCACTCTGTTGCCCACGCTGGTCTCAAACTTCTGGACTCAAGTTATCCTCCTGCCTCGGCCTCTCACAGTGCTGGGATATCAGGCATGAGCCACTGCGCCCAGGCAACAATCCGCTCCGAGGAAAGCGTAAGCAGGAAGACCTCTTAATGGCCTAGCACCAATCAAAAAATGACTCCTAATTGGGTTTGGAAAGGGAGAGAAGAGATGTCTGAGGAAGGTCATTTGCTTTCAGCTTATGGCATTTCCTAGAATTTTGCTGAAGCAAGAAGAAAAACTCAGAGAACATAAAATCAACTTTTAAAATTGTGTGCTCTCTTCTTCACGTAGGCTCCTGTTATGAACAAAGTACAGTAAAATTCTAAGCCCTGTTCAGAGACTTTTTGAATCACAACTGCAGCTCATTGCCACGTTACAGAGTCTGTTAACATGGCTATCAAATACTGTATCAGTCACTATAGGCTCTAAGAATCACATGCAGTCTTCACTCCATTAAATTATCGATTTTTTAAAAATTAATTGAGTTTATATTCAGTTTTCAAATTAACCGAACAGATTTAAAGGGGTACCAAGGAGGGGGGAAACATCAGATCTCCCAGACAGTTGTTGCAAGGAAATGCTACTAACTGTGACTACAGCAGAAATTCTTGATTGACTTTGAAAGTTACTTCCTGGCATTCTGGTACTTTCACCCAGCCTGGGTGCCCTGGAGAGGGAACAGGAAATGCTGATCTGTACGCCTGGGTGAGAGCAGAACCTCAGGGCTGACACTGTTGAGTGGCTTCCTCGGTTTGCTCTGTACCGTGAAAGTATTTTCATATTTTTCTGTGTGCCAGAGTGAAAAAGGACAACTCCTGACTGTGGGAATTGTGCCTGTAGCACCCAACCTTTCAGAGTCCACCTGAAACCTGGGGGTGGATGAAGGAACTAGAATAGTTCAGAAGACTGAAGCTGGGTGGGCCGCTCAGCGTCTCCACTGGCGTTTTGCTAAACAGACAGGGAAGGCCGTGTGCTTAGCTATCCCCAGAGGGAGGACGAGAAGGGTGTGGTGATGGTCATTCTGGCTGTCGGAACGGATTCTGGTGTCTTGGGCTGATAACAGTGTTGTTGATTCTGACTGTGAACCCCCTCAACTCTAGCAGACACATACACGCCCCTGAAACGGGGCTGCAGAGCAAGCTCTCAGCCTTGGCAGTGTCGGCGTCTCGGGCTGGGTAATTCTCTTGTGGGGACTGTCTTGTGCCTTGTACGATGTTTGGTAGCATCCCTGCCCCTACCTACTAGATGCCAGGGGCACAGTTCTCCCCCCGTCCCTCCCCCAGTTGTGACAACAGTGTCTCTAAACATTGTCAAATGGTCCTAGGAAAGGAGAAAATTGCCCCGGTTGAGAAGAGCACTGCTGTAAAGTAATGAGCCTCGGCTCTCCTGTCCACACCTGTCCGGTTACTACTTGGCCGCCATGCAGCCTTGGATCCTACAGCCCAAAAGGGAAAATGGAGGGAGGGTCCAGGCTTTGCTGGAGGGGCCTGGGTGAGTTCCGTTTGCTCCTTGTACCACCATCCAAATGGTGTTCTCAAATCTCTTAAGAGTCCAAAGAGGCTGAATAATTAATATTGAAAGGCAAGAGGGCGAGGCATTTTTTAACACACTTTTTAAAATTTTATACCGCAACTACAGGCTACTGATGTGATGTGTGTGTCACTGGGACAGATGGGGGTTCTCCATGGTGCCTCTGCCACGGAGGCTGCCTTTCCTGAGCATAATCCCCTTTTACCCTCCTGCTGCCAAGCAGGTGACAGGATGCTGATGGTGAGAAGAACACCTCCCTGCCAGTGCCTTTTGGCCCTCGGGATGAGAGGCCTGCAGCAGCACTGCTGTCCCTGCGCCTGGCTCTGGGGCCTTCCCTTCACCCCCACTCAGCACCATGGTGGGAAGAACCAGGTTTGCCTGTGAGGAGTTACGTACAAAGCCCAAGCTCCACAAGAACACTGCGGTTAACAGGCAGAGCCAAGTAAGCAGGATGACACAGAGCAGCAAAGGAGAACTGAGACTGTCGGTTCGGAAACAGACATTCACACCCTAGGTTATTACTGGTAATAGAGACCTACTTCCAGCTCCCACAGTCCTGCTTGGTGGATTTTCCACTTGTTGCTACAATCATCATCTTTGCTTTGGGTCTGTCATGTGAAGTTAGGGTTTCAGGAATAAAATGTTTAATAAATCACAAAATGTTTTAGGCAGTATTTTGAGGTACATTTTAATGTGGTATTTATGAAAGGAAAAGCATTTTCTAAGTATAATAAAGGCATAAATAAAAACAGGAGTGTAAATCTTCGAGATCTTAGAAGCAGCTGATTTCAGAGAAATCACTGAAAGGTTAATGCTACTACAGTGATTTTTACAATATGTAATAATCCAAGTATACGACCAGGTATCGTGGCTCATGCTGGTAATCCCAGCACTTTGGGAGGCCAAGCTGGGAGGATTGCTTGAGGCCATGAGTTGGAGACCAGCATAAAACAACATAGCAAGACCCTATCTCCACAAAAACAAACAAAAAAAAAATTAGCCAGGTGTGGTGGTATATGCCTGTAGGCCTAGCTTCTTGGGAGGCTAAGGTGGACGGATCACTTGAGCCCAGGAGTTTGAGGCTGTGGGGAGCTGTGATCACACCATGTCTCATCATCATCATCATCATGCAAGTATAGAGTCCTGAAACTGAGAGCTCAAAACTCCCCTCTGTCACTTTTCAGCTGTGTCACCCCGGGCTTGCTTCCTAACCTTTCACCATCATTATCCAAGTATAGAGTCCTGAAATTGAGCAGCTCAAAATTACTTTTCAGCTGTGTCACCCAGGGCTTGCTTCCTAACCTTTCTTAGCCTCAGATGCCTCATCTATAAATGGGGAGTGCAATAGCACAAAAGGCTGATGTGAAGATTAAAGAAATATGCATCATAAGATGCGTGGCACAAAATGGCAGTTTTTTAAGCTGCACAATCTTGCTGTATATAAAGGACCGGTTGTCAGATATGTTACTTAAAAATAGTGACACCAGGCTGGGTGCGGTGGCTCACACCTGTAATCCCACTTTGGGAGGCCGAGGCGGGTGGATCACCTGAGGTCAGGAGTTCAAGACCAGCCTGGCCAACATGGCAAAACCTCGTCTCTACTAAAATTACAAAAATTAGCCTGGCATGGTGGCGGGTGCTTATAATCCCAGCTATTCGGGAGGCTGAGGCAGGAGAATCGCTTGAACCCGGGAGGCAGAGGTGGCAGTGAGCTGAGATCGCGCCATTGCACTCCAGCCGGGCAACAAGAGTGAAACTCCATCTCAAAAAAAAAGAAAAAAATAGTGACACCAAAGACCTAAAAACTCATTGCTACTGTTTTGCTTAGCACTAGGGTAACTGGTGTTGAAACTGTACAGACAGCTATTTTTATCATTTCTGAGATGAAACCCCAATCAACATATCAGGAAAAAAGGAAATACCTCACCAAAGATTGCTGAAAGTCAAATGATTAAATTCCACTCAAACATTATATATGTCTCTTTCCTTTTATTCAGGAATTAATGTGATAAAGTTATGTTGAGAGTATATGAAAACTTTTGCATAGTCTGTATTTAGGCCAAAACTGCCTTTACTACTCAAGAAACTCCAAAGGGCCAGTGAGGACACTGCAGGTGGCAGACATTTCCATGAGTAACACCTACAAGCACTGTGCCCACAGGACTGACTGACACCAAAAAGGTCTCTTGGAGGGACAGTCATGCAATATGCAAAGAAGCTGTTGTCTCCAATTATTCAAGCCAAGGCTACAACAGTAGCCACAAATCTGCCAGTTATTTCCAATTAAGGCACAACGATAGACTTAAAGCAATAGTGGTTTTTTTCTCCACTGAGCTTTCAATTAGATAATGTCTATAACATTTATAAAGCTGGAATTATATAGTCAAAGCAAACATTAAGTGTGGTAAAACATACATAAAATTACCACTTAAACCACTTTTAGGTGTATAGTTCAGTGGCATTAAGTACACTCACAATGTTATGCAGCCATCACGAAAATCCATCTCCCCAAACTGAAACACTGTCCCAAGGAAACACCAACTTTCCATTCCCACTTCCACCAGCCCCCGACGACCTCCACTGTATTTTCTGTCCCTAGAAGTTTGACTCCTCTAGGCACCTTATTATATAAGTGGAATCACACAGTATGTCTTTTTGTGACTGGCTTACCTCCCTCAGCATAGTGCCCTCCAGGTTCATGTAGTAGCATGTGTCAGAATTTCGTTCTTTGTTCAGGCTAAAAAATGCTCCATTGCATGCACAGGCAACATTTTGTTTATCCATGTATCTGGTTTTGGACACTTTAAATTGCTTCCACTCTTTTGGCTATTGTGAATAGTGCTGCTGTCAACATGAGTGTAAAAACATTTCTTCTTGTACACCCTGTTTTAAATTATTTTGGGTTATATACCCAGGAAAGAAAATACTGGATCATATAACTGATTTTCTGAGGAACGACAGTACTGTTCATCACAGTGGCTGCACCATTTTACATTCCCAACAGCAATATACAAGGGCTTCAATTTCTCTACATCTACACCAACAATAATTTCTGGGGGTTTTGCTAGCAGCCATCCTAATGGGTGTGAAGTTGTATAAAGAAAATTTAGATCTCATCATCTCTGAAAAGCAAATACACTTCCACCGTTAGTAGCCGGCCTAGAGCCGGAGCCCCGCGTGGACGCCCACCCAGCGAGGGCGCTATGGTTGGCAGCCTCGACTCCTGGAAAGGCCACGGTCGCTGAGGCGACGAGCGGGGGCGGGGCAGCGCCGACTGGGACACTCAGCCCGGGAGCCAGAGCCAGCACGAGAGGGGACGGTCTTTGCAGGTGCAGGCAGTTCCAGGACTGGGAAACCACGAGCCGAGTTTCCGTCGCCCACAGGAAAGCACCCGGCGGGGCGGGGCTTCGGGGCGGGGCTTCGGGGCGGGGCTTCGGGGCGGGGCTTCGGGGCGGGGCCTCGGGGCGGGGCTTCGGGGCGGGGCCTCGGGGCGGGGCTTCGGGGCGGGGCTTCGGGGCGGGGCTTCGGGGCGGGGCTTCGGGCGGGGCCGGAAGGGTAAAGGGCAAAGCAGGATGGAGCGGCGGGGTGGGCGGGGTGGCGGAGTGGGCCGCGGACCGCCCTGGGTCTCAGCGCATGCGCGCTCCCGACGGCGACGCGACTTGTGACCATGGTGGCTGTGCTGGGTGGCCGAGGCGTGTTGCGGCTGCGGCTGCTGCTTTCGGCGCTGAAGCCCGGGATCCACGTCCCACGGGCCGGACCCGCGGCCGCCTTCGGGTAATGGCGGCCACCCCGCCCCTGGGATCCCCAGCATCCGCGCGCTTGAGGGGCGGCGGGAGGGGCGCGTGCCGACCGCAGGAGTTCCGGGCGTGTGGGCACTGGGCGTGGGCGAGGTCCGGCCGCCCTGCCGCCCTTTGTGCCGCGAGACCCCGATCTTGGGGTGCAGCCGCGCTTGGTGCGCGAGTCCCTCGATCGTGCATGCGCCTCGGTCAGCCTAAGTTCAAAGAGTCCGGAGCAGTAGAGGCCTTGGGCCGTGGAGTGCAGCCCCTTCAGTGTGCAGACCAGAGAGACCCAGGGAGATACTTTTGCCCGCAGTATAGACTCACCCGTGACGAAGCACGGATTAGAATCCCAACACCCTTATTAGTCCATTGCTCTGTCCAGAGTCCACACTGTAAGGGCATAAGGACAATAATCTCTTCTTCCTCCTATGTCAGAAATCAGCCTGAGAATGACTGTGCCCATTAGCTCTCTAGTACCGCTAAGGCCTTAATCCCGGGTCCCGAGAGCCCTAAGTCTTCTCTGCTTGCTGATCTCGTACCTTAATGTGCAAAAGAATCACATTGGGAACTGTGAAAATTCAGAATCCTGGGCCTCACTCCCAGAGGATCTGATCTACATGTGTGGAGATGCCCAGGAACCTGCTTTATTCTCATTTGTCGTCCCACCTCTCCCCCATTTCAGGTAAAACAATAACAAAAAACTGGATTAATTTCTGACCTTCCGTCTTGAAAATGAATGTTCTTGGTCCCCAGAGATACTGGGCAGAAATGTGGATACAGCGGCATGAAGCTTGTTTTACTTTATTGTCTACATACATCCCTACACACATGCAAACGCACGTATACAACGAACGTACACAGTGCATGTGCTCAGTTGACTGTTGATGGGCTATTTCCATGAAGTCAATACTAGATAGGTACACAGCGTTTAGAACTTTACTTGATCCAACATAGAAACTTTTAGTTTGAAAACTTGATTTAGGAGGAGAAAAGAGGGCAAAACTGACCAACTTTTAAAATTTCATATTGCAATTGACTAGCTCCTTTAATTTTAGAATTATTATAAGATGGTCAGGGCTATTTTGATAGATGGAAAAACATGTCAATGGCTACAGCTGCCCAGGCTGGAGTGCAGTGGTGTGATCTTGCTCACTGCAACCTCTGCCTCCCAGGTTTAAGGGATTCTCGTGGTCTCAGCCTCCCAAGTAGCTGGGATTACAGGCACCCGCCACCATGCCCGGCTAATTCTTGTATTTTTAGTAGCGATGGGGTTTCGCCAGGTTGGCCAACCTGGTCTCGAACTCTTGACCTCAAATGAT